ACGAATAACGGACAAATAACGAAATCTAATCTTTAATGCCCTCTTCCAGTTTCTTTAGCCCACCAGCGGTCGAGCGGTAACGTTCGTTGAATACTGGTAGTTCGGTTTGAGGTTCAAATCCAGCGAACGGGCTGGCTGCATGGGGTGTTTTGTGGTTTTCCCATGTGTAAAGTGTATACCAGCCATTTCCCTTACAAAGTCCTCCACGAAGGCATCACCCCTTTAGGCAGATAGCCCTAGTGTGCTTTGCCATAATTAAATACACCAACACCAACCCAGTTTCTTTATTTGTATTTGGGAAAGTTTTATTGTCATTATGAAAAGTGAAATTTGATATGGATACCGCATAACTTTTTAAATTATGCTTATTTTTGCTGCACTTCATTTAAACTTATTTCCTCGAATTGCTGCACTTCATTTAAACTTATTTCCTCGAATTATTCTAACTTAATTAAGCGATACCCGAAGGCAAGTTACAAATGGCATCAAACACTGCAAATTTTGAAATTAAATTTCCCGGTCAATCTCTGTCTACGGGACTCAAACTTCTTGTATTTTTATTTTTCATAACGAGTATAAAACTTTGTCAGCTATAAATATAGGAACCAGAAGACAACATTAAAAGTTAGATTTCATAATTTGTCCAAAATTAATTCTTTTTAAAATTTGACATTGACAAAATATAATATTTTCGTCATTTAAAATACTTCTGTATTTTTGTTGCACCGTATTTAAACTTGCTTCTTCGAGTTATTGACATTAAATTACATTAATTTCCGTTATCTATTAGAAAATAATTATAGCAAATCATCTAATTACGACATCACTAAGAGGTCACTTTCTAAGAGATCTGTATTTTTGAGAACATAAACAAACACTGGTAGTGAACATCACGTTCGTCTTATTATTATAAAGAGTAAACACCTATTTTTCAAACAGCGGATAAAACGGGAAAGAGGGAATTGGTGGGGGAAGGCAGCGAACGAAATGACACTTTTTGAGAGCTGGGGATGAAATGAGAAAGGACGAAAAGGTACTAAGCCAATAAGACAAGGTCTGGTATTTTACTTTATAATTTAACTGTTCATCATAAATTTAAGAATTATTTTAATTTTTATTTGTCTTTACATTTTTGTTAATTTTACTTATAAGTATTTTATATTTCAGTTGCTAATTATTATGTTACTTTAATTATTCATTAATTTAATCACTATTTTTTATTATTTTAATTATTAAGTTTTTACTAGGTAATTTTTATTATTTTAATTACTAATTAATGTTATTATTGTAATATTTCTTTTATTTATTTATTTATTATTTTATTTTTCCCTATTTTCCTGACGGCCTTCCGTAGGCGTTTCTGACTTTTGTGACACCACAAAAAGAGGTGAATTATTTCCATCCAAAAATACGACGTAAAACTCCCGATAAAATAGGCTCAGGATACGAATACCGATGGATTTTACCGACATTAACGAGTAACGATACGATAGTAAAGAGTACTTGTTCACCGAGTAACGAATACATACGGGTACACAATTTCTCGTTACTTCTACAGCACTAGTTAAAATGGACCATCGCGTCAAAGAATATGTTCAACTTTGATCGCGTCACGTAACAGAAGACCACGCCCACAAGCTGATGTCATTGAGAAGTCTAATTTAATTGGCTAGCTACATGAGGGTACAGCGCGGAGTCTAGCTTCTTGTAAATATAATTATGTGTGCTGTTTGGTTGAGCAAAGAGTATTAAATTAGAAATAGCACATAATTGAATAAAATATAAAATATTGATAATATATGTAAAAATAAGTGTCTTGCACTTGTATATGTTTATTTAATGCTTTATTTTCTGTTTTCATTTGCTTTGTTATGCTTCCCTGTACTCATCGATGTTCAAACATGGTTTATTCTGTAGCTTTTTAGTATTTATTTTATGTGCATTGATTGCAAGTAATCTATAAATATTTTCTCTTACTTTCTTTCTTGCAATGTGTGCTTCCATATCGTAGTGCAATAAAATAAGTCAATGTGTGCTTTGATATCGAATCTGAAGCGGGGGGGGGGCAAAATCGTGTTGACATTTTTTGTACTTCTTAGAAACCATTTAGCTTTAAAGATGTGTTTTGCTCAATCAAGCTTTAATTCAATCCTCTTTGAAAAATTTCGTCAGATAAAAGATACTAAAAATTAGACAGCGGATTTCTGTGTAGAAAATTTAGACATGAAATAAATTAAAAGCGATTATAAGAACTATTAAATGAATTATTCTGTATGCCTGCCCTGCTTATTTTTTTATGGAAATACTTGGCATTTTCAGGACGCAAAAAGTGCTTCAAAGAACTTTGAAATATTAGTACAAACACATTAATCAATTAAATTGAAATAAATAATGGGATGTAATTTAAAAGACAGAAATAAGTTAATGTAAGAGAGTTAGATTTAAAAATTTGCACACACAAATCAGATTTATTTATCAGATTTTCTAAGGTTTTATTTAATAAATAACCTTGATTTTGAAATATGTCATTTGAACTTATAAATCTCTGTGGATACTGAAAACGTGATGAATATATAAGAATATTATTATGTTTCAGTAAGTTTTCTTATTGAATAATAAATTCTGATAGTCCTATGCTAACTAACTAGGGCCTGAATTTGCATAAAAATTCCTCTGTAAAATAATTTAAGTAATTTCTGTATCCTTTTTGTCAATATATTAAAGATTTTTTTAACTAATTAAACGTCCTCGCTTGCAATTAAAACCATTATTAAATCCCTATTTTATCTAATCATTTCCTGAACATTATCATGTATATAGATTGACTTCGTCTTTGTAACTGATAATCAGGGGCGTAGCTAGAGGGGGGGCAAGAGGGGGCATCTGTCCCCGGGCGCAGAATACAAGGGGCGCCAAACTGATGTTACGACATTTTAGAATTAAATGTTTTCCATCCTTGGCAAACAGTAGCGGGCGCGAAATCTTCAGTTGTCCCTGGGCGCTGAAAACCCTAGTTACGACTCTGCTGATAATTATTACTTGCAAATTATTCTCTTGTTGATAAACTATTAACAACCCTTTTTATTGCTGAGTTAGGGTTAACAACCTTCGCTCTCACTACCGCCTGCCTTACGGAAATTGGGGTAAAATGCTGGTACCTTGGCTGCTTGTGCGCATGCGCGAACTTAGGTGGTGTGAATGACCTGTCAGCTATTCGCACCGTCGTTGCGATAAGCCACTGCGGTCATTGAGATGGTCATCACGGAGATTCTAGTCTTTTGCACAAGCGCCTGGCCCCAGCCACCACCCCTGTTCTTACTGGTTGCCGTTTATGTTGTCAGGCTGAAAGATTCCATTATCTGTTTCGTTTGAGTTATGTCAATGGGAACTTATAACTACTTTGGATTTGGTTTTCTCCTGTGTTAATGTGAATTTGTGCAATGTAACAGAATATTTGCAATTAAAAGGAACCTAACAGTATAAGAAAATATGTCGGCACTTTTTATATAAATTGTTTAATCATGTTAATGGAATAGATAAAACTTTATAATGCGTAAATAGTGTTTGGCTAAGCAATCTGTATTCAATGCAATTCATAGCGCTATACTGATATTTAAGAAATGTTTTATAATTTCATATAAAAGGAGACCATTAACAAGATTTGCTTCGTCAGCAATGTCAAGAAATAGCACTTAACTCTTACTGTGTAAATAATGTCTGCGCAGTTTTCATGAATTAGCGGTTTATTTTGCAGAAAAGTGTTTTTAAAAGTAATATAAATGTAAAATTTAGTTATTTCTTTATAAAAATGAACTCTTTGATAATTAAATAACCTTCCTTTCATTATTGCTTGTTATATAGAGATTGTTTGGTATCAAAATTGTTCGTAGTCAGATTAATTTTTTACTTTCTAGTCCTAGGCATTAATTTCTCCTCATTTATGGTTAAAAATAAGAAAGTATAAGATACTTTTAAATTGGTAAGAATATTTATAATATCGTTTATTTGATTTTGTCACTTGGAGTTAATCATTCGTTTTATTATGGCTTATTGTTTGTTTCTTAACTTTTATTATCTTATAAAAAGTGTTTATTGTCCAAATGACTTCGATATTCAGTCTAATGACCAAAAATACTGCTAAACGGTTATCGACTTTTTTCTACATACTATGTATAATAACGAATATATTTCTGAAGCTGCTTTTTATTTTTGTAATTTTTTCGCAAAATATGGGAAATTATTCTATCGTCGCCCATCGTTTCGCCTGTTTCAGCGCTAAAATAACCTCGAGCTCAAGCTTTTGGTGCACAAAAATGCTGCAGAGAACTCTTTTCGTCACTGTATGACATCAGAAGTCGTGTCCAATAAGAGCTTGGGGTGGTGGCTGGGGCCAGGCGCTTGTGTCTTTTGCTATTCTCTTGACAGCTGACATCTACGGGACAATCAATCTCACTTAGCGGAATCATTGAAGTAAAATTCTGGGAGTGATGGGAAATGACAAGAGAACTGCCTGACAATTTTCAGAGGTTTAAGGTTATTTTCGCGACATTTTACGGGAAGTTCGGTCCAAAACTAGCAACAGTTTTAAAGGGATTTGCAGAAAATCGCTCGACAGGCTAAGGGTTAAGTTTCAATTAGAGTTAATTTTACTCAGGATCAGTAAAATACTTCTTATGATATTTTAGAAACCTTTATTTTACTTATAGTTAGTTCACTGAAAACACATTGTTGCTATGAAGAAACTGCGACTCGGAACGCGTCGCACGGGAATAAATTTTCCTGATCACAACATTCCTCCCCCCCACCAAAAAAATTAAATCGCAAGACTCATAGATCAAACAAAATTGTAGAACTATTTAATAAATAATACCACACAGGAAATGCTAAAGCTAATAATAGTGGGTACGACACGATTTCATTTGTACTTACCTTATTATTTTTTTGCCATTATTTCAATGGCTTACTCAGTCGATAGGGAAATATGACTTCTACTTCTTACTTCCGATGCTTGGCGCCATTTGTATGGATGCGGTGATTTAACTGCTGAATTTATTAACATCAAGAAGGGTGGTGTTGAGAAGAAATATATATCTGGATAATATATCTATGTACTTATATACATGAAGACATAATTGGAAGATTATTTTGTAAGTGTTTGAAGTTACCATTTTTGTTTTCGAAGATGTCCGCCGCTGTTGAAAATGCAAATATGAAGACATCGGACGAAATTACTGTACAGTTGGAAGAAAATGGGAACATTCATGTGAAATTAGTGGATTTGAAAGTTGTGGATTTGAAGTCCGAATTAGAAAAACGAGAGCTTGATAAAAGTGGTGTAAAATCAGTGTTGGTAGAGAGATTAAAGAATGCTCTTATTGATGAAGGGGAAGATCCTGATGAATTTACTTTTGAAATAAATTCCGAATCATCCGTATGCAGGAGTCCTGTGAACAAGAAAAAGAAAACGCAGTGTCCTAATACAAATGGCTCTGTTGATGATGTTAGTGAAGAATTAAATGAGAATTATAATAATGAGGAAAAGAATTCATCTAATGATGTAACTTTGCAGATTTCCATTGATGAAGAAGAAGCCCAGTTAAATGAAGAAGAATCAAGATTGAATGAAGAAACTCAATTGATTGAAGAAGAGAGTAGTGGATGCGTTTTGAAGAATAGTGATAATGAAAATGCAAAGAATTCTGAAGAAAACTCAAGTGTCCTGAATTTGGAGACAACTGATGGTACAAGTACACCTTCCACACGGGAGCCAAGTTCCAATCAAAGTAGCCCTGTAAAACCTTCAAAAATGTCTACAAATGAGGAAGTTAAAGAAAAAAAAGCTAAATCAAGTACACCATTAAAAAATGTGGAAGCATCTGCAACTGTATCAGCAAAAGTTTTGAAAGTTCTTGGTAAAAATGATAAATTAAAAAATGCAAGTATGTTAAGCAAGAGTTTGTGGATCACTGGTTTGCCAAATACAATAAGAGCAGCTGATATTAAGGCACTATTTAGTAAGCAAGGAAGAGTAGTTTCTGTAAAAATAGTCAAAAGCACCAAGCAAACCCCTGGAAAGTGTTATGGATTTGTTACAATGGCAACAAGCAAAGATGCAACTAAAGCAATTCAAAATCTTCACCGCACTGAATTGAATGGTCGTACTATTTCTGTTGAAAGAACACAAAGTGAGCCAAATACTTTAATAAAAAAGGCAGAATCAAAAGTGGTCACAGTTAAAAAACAGACAGTAAAGAAGGAAGCTGTTGTAACAAAATCTACTGTAGATTCTTCAAAGTGTTCAGCAAATCAAGAAAAGGTTACACCTAAACCAGAGGCTAAATCTTCAGAATCTACAAAACCTTCTGCTGAAGAAGCAAGCAAACATAAAAATGAGAAAAGTGAGCCTTCAGAAAAGAGTAAATCAAAAGAAAAAGATAAAGATCGCAAGTCAAAAGAACATAAAGAAAAAGATGTGCGCAGGTCACTTAAAAGGCCTTCAGGAATACGTGCTCGTCCTTTCAGTGAAAGATCTCATTATGGCCCTTTTAGAAGATCGTTTGGCAGAAGACCATTTTCTAGTAGGTCAGGATTTGGAACTTCTAGTTTTAGGTCACGAACAAGTCTAGGCAGTTTTAAGATAAGAGATGAGCGCCTTCATCCACGAGATCTCATTAGAGAGAAAAGAGAAGCTGAACGGAGAAGATTGGCTGAAATTTCACGCCATAAATACATTGAACGAAAACAGAGAGAAGAAGCATACAGACTGGAACGAGAAAAAGAAAAATTACGTTTAGAAAGGGAAATTCTTGAACGTGAAAGAGCTGAGATATTGAAACTGGAACGGGAGAAACAGAGATTGGAACGGGAACGTCTTGAACGTGAAAGGGAAGAATTGAGGCGACAAGCGGAAATCAGAAGAAGCAGTAAAAGATCTTTCAGTCGTGTAGACAGAGATCCAGATTCATTTTGGGAAGAAAGAAAGAAGTCTGCTTCTCGATATGAAGGACGTTTCCATGCAGAAGGACCAAGTGCATCTCGTTATGATTATGCTTCAAGAGAGCGTACAAGTTTTGGTAGGCATGAATTTGAGAGTCGTTCTGATCGTTATGCCAGTCAAAAATCATTGGAGCCGCCATTACATGCTGATTTTGGAGACAGAGATTTGCGACGAGAAGTAACTATACGTACCCGAGAAGATCGTCAAGTATTCAGTCGAAGTGATTTTCGAGAAAGAGATGGTAATAGACGGAACTTCTCTTCCAGAGAGCGAGAAAGACATTCCTCCTCTTCAAGACGGGAGCCAAGAGATGACTGGAAACATGACCGAAGAGTACACGAGCGTATTGTTTCTCCCAGTAGTGCCAGTGGACAAAGAAGAATGACTTATTATTAAGGAAATAACTGAAATATTTTATGTATTGAAGCTTGTTTTATTTTATGGTGTACTTCTGAAAGTAATTGATGATTCATATTTATGAAGCGCAAGTATTGTATATCTCTTCATTGAAATTCAGATGTTCACTAGATATATTTTATTCTCGTCCTACCTGTATGTAATCTTCACAAAAAGTTATAAAAGGTTGTCTGAAATGGGAAAATGTGTGATTAATTCTCATCTGTACACTTGAAGAAAAGTTTTGTTTTTTAGTTTTGAGAAGTTAAAGAAGTAACGAATATGAAATAAACCAAGTGTCTTGAGGTAAGGTAGTTCTATTTGATTACTTTACTGCATGTCTTTTCTTCTCATCTTCCAGTTTTCTTTTCACTTCTATGTTTTTATATTTCAGGAATAGATATGACTGTTGCTTTAATCATAAATTTTTAAAAGTCAGCCATAGATGTAAGTTCTGATTTTTACTGCAATCATTTGTTAGTGTGATTATATTACATTTTATTTTATTCTCTCAAACTAGAATTCAAAACAGAATTCAGAAGTTTTACTTAATTTTAAAAAATCATCAATTTTTGTTATAATTTTCATATTTCTTTTCTATATTAAATGTATGTGTAATATCCCCCCAAATGAATTAAAATAGGATTTCTAAAATGAAAAGGTTTCTTAAATTTAATTTAATGCTGTTTTTATCATTTTTATTTAAATAGTCTACCATCATTCAAGAGAATTTGGTTTTTGACAAATTTTGTTAAAACACTAAATTAGTTAAAAGTCTGTAACTTAAGGTAGCAAGTCTGTTTTTAAATTGCAGGCTAAAGTACAGTACTGAAGTATGATGACATCATAAATGATGATGATGATGATGTTAAGAAACCTGCACATCTCTGAAAATTATTAAAACTTGTCTCCTAGTATTCTTCGTTTTATTGAGTTTTACCATATTCTAAAGATTAGCCGAGTTTGATACTGAGTTGTTGAATTCACATACGTTGTACAATGTAAATATTGGCTTCAGTATGAAGGTCATAGCTTTGGATTAATTTGAACTAGTCAGAAAGTATTGTAATTGATAACGTTGCTTACAACCTTTTGGTATTGTCATGTTGTATGGTCGAAGAACATTAAACATATCTTCAATAAATTTAGTTTTGGATTTTGAAACTTTCTGCAGATGTATGGATAAACCAGAGTTACATATGATTTGTATAGTTTTATATTCTTTATCATAAGTTTTGAATACAAAGCAAAAAATAGGTAAAATTTACTTATCTGATGCAAGTTGGCAGCCCTTTTTTTTTTTTTAAATCACTAAATTCTCAATATGTATTATAAATCAGCAAACATTATCAGTGTATCAAAAGAAACATACTATAAAAATTTAAAATACATAAATAAATGTTAATGATTAAATAAGAATTAGTAATACATTAAAAATGAAACATCTTTTTTAAGAAATCTTTCTGTAATTTCTTTTGTGCTATGGTTCTTGCCATGCACACTGTGAAGAAACAGAGAATTGCACAGACTCAGCATTGCATGCTGGTCATGATAGCAGTTAAAACTTCAGTGTACACTCTAACATGATGAAAATAAAAGAAACTTTAAATTATCACCATTTTTAAAAGTAACAAATAGCATTCAAAATCAATAAAAACAGGTACCAGAGAGAAATTTCCTATATTTGACAGCAGAAAGCCAGTCCTGTGCCTAACTTTAAAAAATTTTCAAGTTGCATTTCATTAGTGATTCGACTGATTCTCTTTTGCAACAAAGCTCAATTTTTGAAAATCTTATTTGCATATCTGAATCTAATGAATGAAAGGCATTATATAAGTTTTCCTCTGTTTTTGCATTTTCTTTTATTGAATCTAAATAGCAAGTTAGGAAGTATCTATATGTTACATAGGAATTAATAATTGTAATAACATAGTTTGGAGAAATCCAGATACAGTCAAAAGTCGTTAACCTGGACGCCCATAATCCGGAATGATCTATTATCCGAACCTCAAAGCTACAAACTTTCTGCGCATATGCGTTTACGCATGCGCGTAATACCTTTATGCATGCGCATATGCGTATGCGTATAAATAATATGCATAACGAACGGTTAAAGCTAAAGCTAAAATTATCTATTTCAGTTAATGTTGCAGATTGCGTTGTTCCTTAACCCTTTAACTGTCAAGTTATTTTGATGATTTGGGTACACAAATTGTCAATTTTTTTTTATTGCAAAAATCCAATCAACATCCTCTAACGTTTGAATCTTTCAGGAAATGGCTGTCATCTATTAACTGAGCCACATTAACTTTCCCGAGATACAGTCGGGTTTGACAAGAGATGAGCCGAATAAACGTCTCCCGATATATTCGGGTATAACAATACGATACACTCAAAAAAATTAACCCCCGAGTTATACTCGGCGTGACATTTGAACACCAGTGATCTCGTGCATGACATTTAAAGGTTAATCTTTGAATTGCATCCTTCTTATTATTTTTTGCAGACTGTTAGAGCAATTTTATAAAAGTAAGCTTGAACTTTCGATTATGTCAAATAGAATTTCCGATGCTGGAGCTGCCAAAGATCTACAAAGCGGAAGCATGTTTCAATGTTCATCAAACAAAATATGGAATTGCTGCAAAAAATGGATAAAGGCATATCCTTTGTTTCTCTAACCATTTCTAAATCTCAATTATTTATCAATTTCACTCTGCTGTGTGGGGAAGGGGGGATGTCGTGGCACGCAATGAGCTGGAAGTTGATCTGTCAGCACTATCCTTATCTTCAGGGCAGATGTTTTTATTTTATTCGGCTTATAATTCATTACTAAATATAGTATTTCAACTCGATGTACTCTGTCTTTGATATTATTTAAATCAAATTCATTATAAATATCACGAATACACATCAAATAGTTTTCTGGTTGCAATTTTCCAATTTCAACTATGCGTACTGTATTTTTACGCATGCGCACGTTGAAAGAAATTGGTTATAAGTAACAAATAAATATTAAGCCTTTTTTTTTTTTTTTTGTAAATTTTGGTACCATTTAGATCATAATTGTTCTTTATTTCATAAATTACAGTTTCATATTTTTTATTTTATAATTTCTGCATTGCCATCTTACCAGATTTAAACTGATGATCTATAATCCGGAATCACCGGAGTCCCGACGAGTCCGGATTAAAGACTTTTGACTGTAGATTATGAGAACCTCCACTCATATGCAATCAGATCTTGATAGCATTAAGAAGTACTGTTCTAGTGTGATGTGCCTTTTATAGTCCTTGGAAGATCATATTGGTGACCTGATGTAATAGAATGTTTTCTCCAAAATACCACATTGCTCTTTGTGTGTTATTGGGTTCTATGAATAGAAGGATTTATTTTACCTCACTAAAAATTTTTCATCTGATTTCAATTAAGATACAAATGCTCATAAAAAGGATCAGTTTCTTAGGTACATATTAGGTAAATGAGCTTCCTGATTTTTTTAAAAATGAAAATGGATTGATGTGTACATGGACAAATTTAAGGCAGTGTGCAGTGCCTAGTTTGTGCAATTCTGTGATGTTTTTTTAACTGAAAACAGATTGATGTGTACATGGACACAGAGTTTGTGCAATTCTTTGACTTTTTATTTTGATTTTATATAACGGCCATCTTGAAATTGTACCTTCCTGAAGCTGATCGTGGGTTCAAAAACGAATTGCGAAAAAACAAGGGGCACCCAATTGTAAACTTTTACCATGTGAATTTTAAGGACGACCCCCCCCAGAAAGATTACTAAATTACCGATGTTTATCAGTACTTAGCAGACATCTCCAACGTATCAATAGAAAATGATTTAAAATATAAATTTCAATTGTTGAATAAGGATTATAGCATAATCATATTATACTTTACATACTGTTGGTCTTCCCATGTACACATTTATATATATTTACTTAAAGCACATTAAAATTTCACACACTTATTATAGATTACCAGATTAAAATTATTAGCAAACAATGAATTTGTCAAATTTGGTGTGCCCTTTATACTTTAGCCATATACTATAAATTATTTTTTTAAATTTGTATCAGATACATTAGTTATAAAATGAAGTATTTAAATTAACCCTGAAATTTAAGTTCCTCAAAATGTGATGAATAAATGCTATTTTCTTCATTATAATTAAAAAATGTCTCACTTTATACTTTTGATTCCTTTCCTTCCAATATACATCCAACCCGAAATTGGATACATTGAAAGCTAGCAAAAGATTTCATGTGAAATAAATAAGAAAGTCGCTTTTCTGTATGGAATTTTATGTCCATATCCCTGAGATGTTATGTAGTTATGATGTTTTTATTAAATTATTTTAGCATCATTCTGATAATAAAATCACCAGTACTCATATGTATTTTACTATCAACTATTTTCAAGAATTCACCATGCAGTGCAGTTTGTTGCCAATAATGGACTCGTAAGAATTTTTCTTTGGTTTTCTGTAATCCTGATCTACAGTAAATGTGGTTACGTTTTCTAAGGAAGTTATAAATTAACTGCTATTTCTCTTGCATTTTTGAAAAAATAAATAAATAAATAAAAATATGAGCCAATCTGTCTTTTACTGAAAGCAGTAGAGTAGTTTGGAACTGTTTATACTGCAGTACATGCTCATAGAATTCAACATAAGTGGTGTAATAAAAAGATTCATATTTGAGTGAATTATTTAATATCAGATTCATTAGGAAGGCTAAAGTTTTGATATTTTATATTCCATTAGGCATTTTTGACTGTCAGGATATTTGATGCTTAAGCATCTCTTTGTCGGATGATCTCAAAGCCTGAGCTCATACTTATTTAAAATTTTATATCTTATGTTGATAACTTTATTGTATTCGTTGATAACATAATTAACCCTCTCGCTGCTTATCCTGCGATTTCCACGGGCAACATAGAAGTAGCAAAATTTGCGCAACCCGAGATTTCTGCAGGGATACATATTTTTCGTTTATTTAACTGTGCAACCTGCTCATTTCCCGTTCATTGTTTCATTTTGGCTTTTCTGTGATGTTTAATTATTTATTCAGATCTGGGTTTACAGATGGCATTAGTTGTCCATATTTTTGCGAAATATAGAAATGCATTTTGCACCATTTTGCGTGCTCTTCTCAAAGCTCAAAGATGTCTGTAGTTCAACTCTCAATCACATGA